TTGGGAGGGATGAACTTTCAGTGGTTATCAATCCGTCTGTGTGGTTGGTTTGACACGTAATCGCTGATCCTAAATGAAATTTCAGTCTTGGACTTAATTGGGCTTTTGGTCAAGTTTGTTTTTTTGCAGCCAAAATGGATAGGCTGCCAGTGTCATGTTGGTCTTGGAAGGCAAACACAAACAGCACGCCACGATACATCTACAATGCAGAGTCTGGTCTTGCCTAACATGTAAATATACTCAGTCTTGAATAACATAGATAAAATTATATAAAATTAACAAAATTCATTTCAATGCAAAAATATTAGATTTCTACTTGGGTCTAAAATAGACTTAAGGGTAGATCGGGTCTCTTTTTCTAGTGTCACATGACTCACATCAGCATGACCCAATCTACTTTTATTTGCATTGGAGAATGTTTTTTTTAGACTAGGTCTATTTTTTAGGTGACATATAATTTTTTGAGATTAAATCCAAAGCATTGTGGGATGCTCTTATAATCTACGATGTCAATAGGGATGTTATAAAAAAAGTCTCTATGAGAGAGTAAGAACGGCTACTCAAGATCCTACTACAAAGAAAGAGCAAACTTCATTCATTGAACGGAAGTAAGCGATAGGCGATGTGGCATACCGCACTACCTCCAGCGCTCTCCAGAGTTCACAACGTACGTATCCATGCTGAGGAAATACGTACCATCGCCAGAGCATATCTTACAGATAGAGGATGTGGTTGTAGATACGGATTTCACTTATGAAGAACGCCCGGAGAAGATTGTTGACAGAAAGGATCAGGTACTCAGTCCACTCCTATTGCGCTCCAGTATCAGTCGGACGGTGTCGGATCGGCCCCTAGGGCACTATTCACTATTGGTCGATAATCCGATGCTATGCCAAGCGAATGAGGAAAATGATACAAACGAAGCAAAGCGAAGTGAAGTCACTGGAGAGATGTAATTGACCTCATTCATTTGATTCCCTAAACAGAGGTATACCAGTCCACTGGCTAGATCGAAGACCAACATTGGAGTTCTAAGGAATCAACAACATCATGGCTGCTCAATTTCGCTTTCAATAAATTTTATTCACTCAGCAATTAATAATAATAGTAGTTCATTAAATAAAAATAGGTGGTCATTTAATAAAAATATGTAACTTTCAGCTACACGATTTATTTTACAATGTCTCATTTTGGATGGTGCTAATTTCTGCATCGCCTTTTTATGTTCTGAAATACAAAATAATTTTGTTTTTATTTTGATACTAAATATATTTCGTATTATATAAATACATATTTCACAACTAATTAAGAATGACTACAAATATCTCTATTTTCTATTGCAGTCATACAATAATAAAAAAATATTTTTTTGGATATTACAAAAATACATCAAATATTTTGAAAAATCAAACCCTATTAAATAAAACCCTCCTGCAAAATGATACTGCAATATATTTAAAATTTTTAATATTATATGCATAAATATAACTTATAATAATATATATTTAAAATTTAATATTATTATTTAACTTATAATTTTAATACTATATATATATAAATAATTTAAAATATTTTATTTATATCTGCGTAAATGCATATGATCAATACTAGTGCGTCAAGAATGTAGTGAGACTTAATAAAGGATCCAATTGTTAATTTATCATAACCTTGAGAGCAAATTAGAATATCCTTAGATTTTGGCCTTTGCTTTCTCTCTCCTCCGTCTTCTCCCCCTCCCTGATTTTGCCCTTTTTCCAGCCCCGTTATTATTTTACATCAAACTCTGACGAAATAAATCACATAATTTTATTTTTTCCTCCCCTAAACCCCGAATAAAACCACACAAAATTATTTTAACCCCCCTGTTTTGCACACTATTATGGCCTTTCATGTTGCTTGTCCAATTACTTGGTAATCCAATCAGCACTTGCTCCAATTTTTCTTTTTAATGGCGCACACAGTCGTATGATTATCTTCGTTTGAATCTCCCGCTGCGGAGTGTTTTCGTGGTGCGTGAGATGCGGTTTGATTTCGGACGGATTTCTCACTCTTCTTGCTTGCTTTTGCAGCCGGAGGGTATGTTTTTGCGAGCTAGGGTTTCCCGGTAAGCTCCGCGGCGAGAAGGGCAAGGAGGACTTCTTGGAGGAGGTTGCTAGGGTTGAGCAGTTCTTGAGCGACCCGTGGTTGATCAAGGCGAGGGAGAATGCGACGATTCAGGTTAGGGTACCCAAAGTTGTTGCGCCTCCAACCCCTGTGCAGCCGCAGCCTGCACATGAGGAAGCATTGGCTGCATCGGCGCAGGTGAAGAGGGCGGCGCTGCAGAAGCAAGCTGCTGCTGTGTCGGTGGTGGCCGAGGATTATGCCAAGAAGTTTGAGTCCGGTGATTTGATGGTGAGTACTCTTTATGTATACATTTTTTAACTTGTATAATAATTTTTTATCTCCTAATGACACAGTTTAAGTTGTAAGATGTGTGCTTGTGTGTATTCTTCTCAGATTCCCGGATTGTTCTTGTGGAATATGTGATGTGGGGTGGTCCTTGATGAACTCCTAATTAGTGATTACTCTATTTTTGTTTTGTGTGTCTATATTTCTTTTTTCTAGTTTAATTTATGGAGCCTGAGTAGAAGAAATGAACTTTTATTAATGTATTTCTGTTTGTTTGAAAAGAAGCTCCCTTTTGTTTCAGATATGTGGTTGCATTTTTCCGGCTTCATCAGTTCCTAGTAACTTTGTTCCATGTGCTGCTTAGCCAGACTGCCTTTTTTTGTGTAATGACTGCATATGTTTAGCTTGATTCTTGTGTAATGACTGCATATGTTTATGTTCAGTGTGATCCTTATAATGAATTATTTATTGTTCAAGCAGTTCGTCTTCGACCCTAACTATTATGGCAATAGTATTTCCCTTTAGAAGTCAGAATTGGTATAGGAAGGCCTTTGTATCGGTAGTTAATAGTTATGGCCTACACTCATCATATCATATTTTGTTGAGAGCTATAAGCAATGATTTATTGACGAGACAGTAGTTTTCTTCGGTGGTTTATGGGATTTAATTTGTAATTTATTTGGTTGCAAAGAGATGATTCTTTACGTGTAATAATTTCTTAGCTCATATGTAATCTATCCCACTGCAACAGATTTTTTGTTCCGACAGAATATTAGATCTATGGATGTATGAGGTTTGGGGTCTTGAAAAATTGAATGATGACACCTCATTGTTTTCATGTAACTTGGAATGTCATTTCCTAAAGCATAAGACTTGAGAAAGATGACTTAAGTAGACCATTGTTCGATCCAAATATTTATTCGGCCTAAACATGCCAGAAATTTGGGTCATTTTGTTGTATTCCTAAAGATGTATGGTGTTGATGATTATTACTACAATGAATATTCTGGTGGTGGTTCTTTGTGTTGCATTCATCAAAGAGTGGTTTCTTAGATTCTATTCGTTTCACTGGAATAATTGATGGAGTGTACGTTTATGAACTACCATAGGCATGTCTATCACTCTATCAGTGTTGGACTTGGGATGTGCGGCCCTATTGGTAATGTTTTAAGAAACTTTGAATGTCTAAAGAAGCTGGCTTGTTCAGCTATATTTCTGCAAGACCCTTACAAAATTAGTTGCATTTTTCCCGAGCAGATTTCTGTGAAGGATGGTTCTGGGGAGGAGCAAGGGCAGGTAACTGCCAAAGTGCTGTGCCGCCTATGCTTTTCTGGCGAATATGATGGAAGCGAAATGGCAAGAAAGATGCTACCTTGCAATACTTGTGGAAAGAAGTATCACCGAAACTGTCTGAAAGCATGGTCACAAAACAGAGGTATTGTCTCTGGCTGCTAAACTTTGTACTTAAAAGTGCTCGGGGCTATGTGATGAAATCCTTTGTTGCAGATCTTTTTCACTGGAGTTCTTGGACTTGCTCCTCTTGCCGCATGTGTGAGGTAAAAATTGATGTTCTTTATGAAAGGAATATTCAGAATGAAGTTTTCTGGCACTTATCTGTATTAGTATGAGAAGCATTCTACTAGTTATAATGAGAGTAGTTACATGCGCATAGTACTTTTTCCTTTTTAGGAAATTACTCCCAGTCTCCAGTTTAGAAGTTCTGTCCTTCACGTTTTGTTGACATAAATGTATTTAGAGGTGCATAAGAATGAAAGCATGTTTGAAGAAGCTGCTATGCTGCGATAATTATTGATTTGTTATGGATGGATGTTCATTTTATTTGAAGAGATAATTATGTACTTAAAGTTTGTGTATAAGTAGGAGAGGCGATCTTTATGATATTCATATTTTCTTTTGATGTTATGGTTACCTTAGGTCTGCCGAAAAACTGGGGATCCTAATAAATTCATGTTCTGTAAAAGGTGTGATGGTGCATACCATTGTTATTGCCAGCAACCTCCACATAAGGTATTCTGCCGATTTCTGAACCTTTATATGCTTATTGATTACCTTATTATTTCACCTTGTTATCATGCAGAATGTTGGCCATGGACCTTATTTGTGTCCAAAACATACCAACTGTCATAGCTGTGGGTCTGCTGTTCCTGGAAATGGCCTAAGCGTCAGGTATGATTTTCTACCAGAATTTGTTGTTTTTGGTTTTGTCTTGTATTTATACCTTGAGATCTTTCATCTTGGACTCCTTCTCTTAGTTTTTCTGTTATTGTTTAATTTTATTATCATATAATAATATTTAACTTCTTGCTTATGGATTATGTGTTATGTGTAATATATGTATGTATATATATGTATATCTGTGACATTCATACCTGTATGTTTAGGACATGATGTCACTATTTCATGCATAACACATTTGCTTACAGTAATATCCTTTGCATGTCTGCCTGATCATTTATATAATGTTGTGTCCTTTTTTCTCCTTTCTTTGTTTAGGACCACAGCAGAAAGGTGAACATATTCTATACAAATATATTGAACTCGCCTTGTCTGTTTTGAAATTCAAATTATTTTACAGCTATCTGCAGTTAACTTTTCATTTGTTATACTGAAGTACCTAAAGCTGTTGTGCTGGATGCTTTTAAATATCAAATTGTTCTTTTAAAAGAAAAAAGTGAGAATTTTTTTGAATATAATTCCAGAAGAATTTGTGGAATTATGCATTAATCTTATTGCACATCAAGCTTTATGACGTTAATGCTTATTGAGAAACAGAATGTTGGAGAGTCCATTGGTTTTATATTTCATTTTGGCTTTCCGTGGAACCTCGATCCAAAGTGAGGTGTTGTGTTGGTCATATGGAATTGCACAAATATGACTTAGTGAAAAAAAGAAGCTTAGAATATTGAAAGGCACAGGAGACATGTCTCGTGGTGGTATCGTGGCCTACCTTTGCATATTTATTGTGCCTACATGCATGTATCTATTTAATATTATAGGCACAGATGCATACATACTCGTATTCCCATGTTCTCACTCAAGGTATACCTTGGTTGCTTTGAGTTTTCTTCTAAGCTGTAACTATTTGAATTTCATAGGATCCTCCTAGATCTGAAAATCTTAAAAATTCTTAAATCTCATTAAGTCTCAAAATGTCTCTCAAAATTCCAAACGAATATACCCTCCTTAATGTCTCATATGCTGTTAGTGTTCTGATTCATACGAACAACATGAGGTTGTATTTATTATTATTTTTTTCCTGTGTTCCACATATCCACACTCGTGACAGGGACCTCTCCCCAACACTAAATAAGGAAAATAAAGAAATGAAAGAGAAAAGAAAGAAAAAAGAGAATGGTGAAGAGTGAATGAGTCATTATGGTAATAACACGCAGTCTATTAATGACGGTTTGTGAAATGATGTAGGTGGTTTTTGGGCTATACTTGTTGTGATGCATGTGGAAGATTGTTTGTGAAGGGAAATTATTGTCCCGTTTGTTTGAAGGTACTACTTGATTCCCTATCTTCATTTTGTTTATGTCCACCTCTAGGTGCATCAGCAGGTTTATTAAGCAGAACAAACAAGTTGATTTCTCAATAATTGGCCTTACATAATTTTACAGGTTTACAGAGACTCTGAATCGACTCCTATGGTGTGCTGTGATATCTGTCAAAAGTGGGTGCACTGTCCTTGTGATGGCATCAGGTTTCTTCCTCTCTTGTATCTCAAACATAGTTTGGGTCGATCATGTCGGGTTATTTTTCCGAAATGGGATCCTTTCTTTTCATATGATTGCAAACTGAAGTTATGTTATATGGCATTGACGTTAGAAATGACATTACATTGTAAATGATCTTGTGTTGGGTATTCCAAATCAGCTGTATATTGACTCTTACCTGACTGCTATCATACCACGTGGCATGAATCTCATCATATTTATGATATTGGATTCTGAAGATTGAATTTCTTGCCTAATGATCATGGTGGTTGTTTTCTTGTTAAAATTGTGAATTTATGTTGGGTATAAGTGAATTAAGATTTCCTATAACTTGTCGAAAAATATTGTTGGAATGAGATTGACAAGTTTTAATTCAGAGCTTGCTAGGTTTCTCTGGGTCTCGTTCCCAAAAAGGACTTTGTGATTTCTGTTGTGCAACAGAATATATCCGATTCATCTTTTTTCTCTCATCTAAAGATAGTTAATTATAGTTAGAAGGCCAAAAATATTTTAGGAATGTGCGTGATATTATTATGTAGCTACGGAACTAAGGCAGTTGAAACCAGGAAAATAATCTCAGATTCCTTATTGGGTGTTATCATAAGCATTGAAGGGCAGCAGAAAGATAAGTGATTGAGTGAAACATCGCTTCTATTCACTGCTTGTATGGTATTAAAACCCTAAGGCTTTCTTCAGCATCTTTGGAGTTCTGTAAGGCGCATATGTTGCACTTTACCATTTGTGGCCTTTGTGGATGCATCTTCTTCTGGCTGTAATTTGGATTGTAATGATTGTTGGGGCATTGTTTTCAGCGATGCAAAATACATGCAATTTCAAGTTGACAGAAATCTCCAATATGTTTGCCCTACATGCCGTGGAGAATGCTCTCAGGTGGGGTTACTAGGAATGACTTTGAAGAGTTTTATTTATTTATTATTATTATTATTATTATTTTTTAAATGTTCTCTTCTTTCTTTTTGTACTTTTCGTACTTCCTCTCAGTTTCTCCTTTCTCTGACCAGGTCAGGAATCTTGAGGAGGCTGTTCAGGAGCTCTGGAGACGAAGAGATGAAGCCGATAAGGATTTGATAGCAAGCCTGAGGGAGGCCGCTGGTTTGCCAACTCATGAAGAAATTTTTGATATATCACCTTTCTCGGACGATGAAGAGAGTGGGCCCGTGATGAAGAGTGACAGTCGTTCTCTGAAACTTTCCCTTAAAGGTTTGGGCGATAAATCGCCGAAAAAGGGGAAGGAGTCTGGAAAGAAATCTTCAAAAAAGAAGTACAACAAGAAAAAGGGGAATGACGAATCTTTGACAGGTGGAGGCGAAATTTTACAGTCTCTTAGTGGGCATGCTAATGTTCCGACTGGACAAAAAGCTGGTGGCGATAAAAATGAAGAAAAAATACAATTTTCCGGTGCGCGTGCTATGTTATCTCCTATCGCTGGAAGTTCGACTGAAAACATATCTGTAGGAAATGAGGCAGTAGCCTCGAAACACAAATATAATGATGAGGTTACAGCCAGCAATGTTTCTAAGGGGTCCAGAGCAATCAAAATAAAGAGTAATAGATCTCAGGACCCGACTAATAGAGAGGAGACTGGAGTTAGTGATGGTGTGCTCAAGACTGCACAGGGACCCAAGCTTGTTATACATTTGGGAGCACGAAGTAGAAGTGCAGCTAGCCTGCCAAGATCTGACTCCAAGAAGAGGACAGAGTTGACTTCAGTCAAAGGTATACTCAAATTTGTTTCCACTTGCAACCTTTTGTCGATGTGCATTTAACAATTTTAATGTATGGGTTAATGTGGGACCAGTTGGAATGGTTTAGCTAGGAGCCGACATTTTCTGTTATTGTTTGTTATTAATTTCATGAATAGGGGAATGTATGTGCATGTAATAGTGGAATGTGCTCATTTATAAGCGCCCTGGTAATAAACAATTAGTAGAGTTCTTTTAGTTTCTTATATATATGTGTATATATTGGTCAGGTTATGAGGATTTGAAATCTTTGGACACTTAATTATGGTTGGTGAAAATAAAATTTATTGCTCATGAGTTTTCTGAATATGAAGTAAAATAATGCTGTCCACGTTGGTTTAGGCACTGAGAATACCATCCAACTGAAACATCACTGACATTGGGGGCCAAAATGGGGAAATGCATGCTGAATATTAGAATTTTGTTCTGTATTGACCCTTTTTTTTTTTTTGGTAATATATTTTATCCATTGTGTTTATATCTTACAAAAGTACAAACTGCTGACGTTGTGTTAATCCAGGCCACAAAACGGACCACCCTGATAAAGTGAAAGGTTCCAAATTGATAAAGCTGAAGAACCCCAATTCCGAACTCCCCAACACTAGCTTGAAACTCGCTGGTGGAAAGGTTGATGATGGGTACGAATCCGTTTCTCCAAAGACGACGTATTCTCTACTTGGGACTGAAGTCCCAGTCAGCAAAAGGAGCAAACATTCTTCAACAAAAAATGGTGATGACATGTCGGGCGATGTACTGGCCTCGTCAAGGGATCGGAAGCCTTCTTTGAAATTTAAAATTCCCAAGAATACTAATAATGGAAACCAAAGTGTTTCGGGTAATTTGGGTACTGGAAATCAAACTTCATTGTCACTTCATGGGAAGGACGACATAACTTACACGAGAGGTCAGAGGTCAAAGAGGAGGAGAATAGGTGAAGAGGATGGCGGATCTCAATGGCATGAGGACAACACGATGAAGGAATTTACGGATGCCAACTGGGTACTGCAGAAGTTGGGAAAAGATGCTGCTGGGAAGAGAGTAGAAATACATCAGCCGTCCAACAACTCCTGGTGAGTTTTGTCCTCTTTTGAAAATGTTTAGACGGATTGAAGGATTTCAGGTGAATGACATATTTCGAAGCATGATGAGAATTTTGAGTTCAGAATTTTAAATTATTATCGAATATCCCGAATTGTTTCTAGATTATATAGTAAACATGCACGTTTTAGGTTCTCGAGGCTAATCAACATTTTACGATAAATTTATTTATGTTAATGTTTTTGTTGTTTTTGAGTCAAACTCAACCCATGAGTTCTACTGCAAAAGTTGTTTGGTGTAGCAATGTTTGAGTTTGTTTGTTTTTTTTTTTTTTTGTTTTTTTTTTTTTTTTGTTCTTATTTCTTTGAAACATAGGGGAACAGTAATTGAAGTGTCTGAAGGTACATCAGCCGTTTCCATTGCTCTTGATGATGGGAAGTCAAAGATCTTTGAACTGGGGAAGCAAGGTATCCGTTTCGTATCCCAAAAGCAAAAGCATTGATTTACACTTTTCTGGGTTTGAGCAGATTTAACCCTTGAGAGCAAAAGCATTGTAAAGATTAATGCAAAACTGAAAAGGATCGCTTGAATAGTGCTTTGCTAGTGTTGTCAATCTCCGGTCAACTGGATTCGTTGCAAAGTATGATGGGTTTGACTCTATAATACAAGTCGCCGTTTTATAAGTTGGATTTCATTTCATTATCGAATTCTGGTACCTACATATGTTTAGACCCATTTTTCTGTGGTTTCAGATTAGATCTTTTCGCTTTTGCCTTGAGGCCCTCCATATTTTGTTTAGTCAAGGATCTGATGACTGAATTATGACCCTTGGTCTTTGTAGCCTCTGTACTCTGCATTTTCTGTAAATGCTTTGAGCTCAATCATGTATTTACGGTATGCTCTCTCCATGAGAAACGGAAGTGTTGGTTGTTAGCCCTTTAGTTGAGAGCAGAAATTGCCTTCAATAAAGACTTTCCATGTATAGGCTTTATTTGGTTCACAGCGTTTTACATCAAAACGCTATAATATAAAATGCTATAATAGTTATTTCGACCGAATAAAACAGGTAACATTATGGTTTGGTAAAAAGTTGTTTCGAAAGACGCTGCATATTCAAGCATTAAACAATACTGGATGAGGGATACCTTTTTATTTATTTACTTCCCATCCAAAATGGAATGCCACAACTTTTTTTTTTTTTTAATTAATCCAATTAATAAGGATTTTTTTTTTAATCCAATCTATTACTATACAATAGCAATAACGAAATTTTTTCTTAAAAAAAATGAAGATTCTCGCTCAAATTTTTTGTTTTTACTGCTAATAGAAGTTTTTTTTGAATTTTTTTTATTTCTCCTGCACATAACATATTTTTCAATTTTGAAAGTAATTTGAAATCACTATATATACAGTTAAAGCGCTAATTTTGATATATACATGTTTTTAATTTCGAAATTAATAAATAATCTTGATATACATTAAATATTTGTCATTATATAAAAAGAATATTACTCCTATAAATGTTATAAATAATAATGACAATACATGACAATAAAATTTTGAATAAAGAGTATTATGATGAACAAAAATATGTAAAATTATTATCTTTTTGTATTATAAAAAAAAATATATATTAAAATATAATTTATATTAATATAAACAGGTCAGCGGGCTAATATGTTCTTAAAATAAGGTTTTCAAAAAATGTTCTAAGGCATGAAACCCTCATGCATCGCACGGGATTCTCACTAGTTATGTTGAATAGTAATAGGGGATGGGGAATAGTTTATGTTTATCTTATTTACTTTTGTAACTTTTTAGTTTAATAATTATAAATGCTCATAAACAAGCATTAAATGTTTTAACATATGACCATGGACTTATAGTTCATGCATATTTATTATATAATAGTATTCGATCTTGTGAACATGCATAAATGTTTAAATTTTATAAATTATATCTATATATATAATATTAAATTATAAGTTCGATAATAGTATCAAATTTTAAAAAAATTGTCAGTAGTAAAAGTGAATATTATAAAAGTATTCAACTTCATCACTATATTGTTTGCATAAAATGAAATGGATAATGCATTTTTTTATAAATTTGAGGGATCCTGACCTATTAATTATCTTAAAAATTATTATTATTATTATTGATGAAATTTTAAAAGATTCGGTTATAGCACTAAAGCCAATTGGCTTATTAAAAAATGCTTAAGAGTAATAAATAGTTTAAGAAAGAAATTGAATTTTTTTTTTTTTTTACTTATTGAATTTCCATATATCATTTAGTGTGAATTCTAATAGTGTGAATTCTAATAGGTTAGTTTTAGTACTAACTATTATATAAAGGAATAGTTAACCATTATGCTAAAAAAATTCATAGGATTGTAACAGAAAAAGCCAAAAAAACAAAATTAATGGCTTTGTCACCAATTATATGTATATAGGATTGTAACAGAAAAAGCCAAAAAAACAAAATTAGTTGTTTAAGTATTAATTGAAAAATAATAAAGTAAATATGTCTTTGTTAACATCTTTGGTAGGGAAAACATATAAGGTTATTAATGGCTTTGTCACCAATTATATGTATATAGATGCTTTACATATTTTTTATTAAATGTACTCACATTTCCATTAAATGTTGGTTGTAATAAAACTTATAGCTTTGCCAACAATTATATGTATATAGATATTGTTTAAAATTTAAATAAATAAATAAATACAATATAAAGTTAATTACTTGGTGTAAGAAAACTTTTATCTATTTTAATAAAATGATCTTTATTAAATCAGCATTTTCAAATTCACATAGCATAAATAATTTGACAATTTTTAAATAATTGTCATAGTTGTAATATTAGAAAAATCAAATATTCAAATGTCCATATAATTTACGAACAGCTAATTCTATACATTTAATTTTATTAAATATTATTTTACAAACCGCTAATATAATTCACTGGTCAAAACAACTAATCCAATTTGTTGGTCAAAGCAGCCAATGCATTATGCGGATGACTATAATTAAAGGTCGATATCCAATCTGCTGGTCAAAACAGTTAATGTAATCCACTAACTGCTAAATGTAACAGTTGATTGCCAAACAAGACCATACTTTTTCTATAGACTTTCCATACATATACTTTTATTAAAAATCCGACAGCGAGATCTCTAGTATAAATTTAGTAGAATTTGATCAAAAGTTAAAGACGCTTGTTGGCCAAAAAATTCAAAATCTTAAACGGTGACTTTGACGAACTTCGAGATATTGTAGGACGAAATTGAAGGGTGACTTTGACGAACTTCGAGATATTGTAGGACGAAATTGAAGGTATCGGTCGATAGGTATAGTCGAGAGATTAAAAATGATCAATGATTTGATGAAATCCACCACCCACCGTTAGTTTTCAACAGTTCTGGACCAAAAGTGGTTAATTTTTAAAAAGTTTGGACCCATATTCATTAAGGTGAAAAGGAGGTATAATTGGAGTATTAAAAAGTGAAAATTTCCCTTATAGAATGCAAAAATTTGCAGCTTAATATAACAACGAATGAATCCATATACATATGAAATGAAAATCACTAAACAGAAGACAAAGCTCGAAACCTTTCCACTTCAAAATGCATTGTTAATCATAATTTTATTGTGACTTACATACAATTAAACTCTCCATCTCTAGCAAGATAGAGATAAAAAAAAAATAAAAAAAAAAATCATACAGGTGGAGGCGGCAAGTTTAGCAAGAGCCAAAACCCAACACACTCTTCTGAATCCAAGTCATTCTGAATAGCAAGAAAGTGCAAGCCCCCACAGCCCTTTTTAGCTGCCTCCCAAGCTTCTGCTTCACTTGTTGTCACTGCCGTTTTCTTGTATGTAGCGTAAATGTACCGTGTTGATATATTCACTGACAAGACCAAGCAAGCTCGGCCAATATCAGCCTCAACCGAACACACTTCTAAGCCATTCATCCATGCTGCAGGAGTGTATATGATGAAATAATTAGTGTTTATTGCTTAATTTGCAAGAATTATAACAGTTGACATATATATATGTTACCTGCTAATGGTTTAGCTCGTGAAGATGCAACTGCAAGTCCAGGAATTAATGTATTGTCACTAACTTCAATCCCCAAAAGATCCCAATCCAAACTTGCGCCAAATCTCGTCTCTAAAGACGATGCCTCTTCTTGAACAGCTGAGATGAAAAAAAGCACTCGATTGTAAACCATCACTTATAGGGAAAAACAAAAAAAAAAAAAGAAAAATAAAGAGGGTTCAATTAACTTGAGATTTTCAAAATATAGGGAGTGTCTTGAAACTATAAAGAAGAAAAAAAATTAAAATTCTTGGCTTCATTACCCCCCAAAGACTTGGAATTGGCTGTTTTTAGTGTTTTCGAATACTAACTAACTTCAAATCTCTAAGTTGTAATCATCTTAAGCAAAAGGTGGTGTCCAAAAAAAGAGACAACTATAGAAGGGTAGAGAGAAAAAAAGCAGTAGTGTACAACCATTCTGACTCGAGACTTTAGTCAGAGGTCGAGTAAATAGCTCAATTTGAATTCGTAGGGTACCTGAAAATGGTAACTGGACAAAAGCCCATTTTTCTCCGTATAAATTATCAGGAAGTTCCACTGGGAAAGGATTATTGAGCGTGAGAAGTGGCTTTGATCCTTTTTGAAACCCAGGGTGGCGAGTGTACACTGTCTCATAACGTTCTTCAAGCCACAGAACTAAAGATAGACACTGCAGAACATGCAAAGCATACGACTTTGGGGTCAGAAAATCAAGAAATCCTACTAAGCAATAGACAACTTGACTCGATTATGGGAATTCAGCATATCATCTACTCTATGAAACAGACAAATTTTATTTATATTTTCAAGAAATCAAACAACGAATCGCATTACTCACCCGTTTACTTGGGACAGGCTTTATACAAAGATCATTGCAAGCTCTTGTTATAATTGTCTGCATCTGTGACCTATAAATCCAACACCAGAAACCACACACCATCGACTCCAACACACGTAGATTCTTCTTAAAAAATTAAAAAATACACCAACTTAAAACTATATAGTTCTCCAAATTAATTGAGACTGAATTTTTCCAAATTTTCAAATATCAGCTCAAACACTCACCTGAAAAACCTAATTTTCTCAGGCAAAGGCACACCGAGTTCATCGCAAATTGAAGCTAAAGCATTCTTTAGAGTCACACTATTGATAACATTGTTAGGGAAATACTTTGTGTACTGAAGGGAAAGTGAAGCATCACAGACGACAAGCTCCCAAATCTTTTTACCCCTAATATCAAGAATCGGCCTCGAACAAAAATCCACCTCCCACTCTGTGATTTTCTGTGGATTTGCTTCGGGGTCCAAATAGCTCAGTTCTGAGGTGGGGTCATCGTCTTCCTCTTCTCCTCCTCTTCTTTCGTCTCCGGTTTCAGGCTGTAAAGGGGTGGAGAAAACTGAACTTTCAGAAACTGAACGACAAGGTGGAAAATGGAGGTGTTTTTTCCTCAGATTTTTACTTTGGAATGAGCTTTCTAGGTTTTTGGGAAAAGGGGTTTTGGAAATGGAAACGAAATTCGTAATGGGGTTTTTGATCCTCGTGGCGTTGAAGCTTAAGCTAGCCATGGATGGTTCTTTCTGTGTGTGGAGTAGAAAGAGGATAGGAGAGTAACAGTGGTAAGGGTATTTTTATTTTTATTGTTTTCCCTTTTATTTAGAACTGTTAAATTAGTTATACACCACACATAATGACTCTTTAGATTGGGTTTGTTTTTGTTATATTTATTTTTAACTAGTGCGTGCCCGTGCGATGCACCAGAAAACAATATTACGATTGTATTATAAATTAAATATATAAATAAGATTAATCGTAGTTTATCCATTGTTTTTAAATTAAACCGGGCTGGACACAATCTGACCGGATGGACCGAGAACCGGTTTATAACCAGTCTAGTTCACTTGAAATAAAATATTTGCTCTCGAATCCGTCAACACCAGTTGGTTCGACTGGTAGGATCAACACGATTTTATAAATAAATTTGTTATATTAAAATTATTTTAAATAAAATTACATATTTAAATAAAATAGAGATTTATAAATTATTTATCAGTTAGTTTAAAAATTTATAAATTGTTTAGATATCTAAGTAACACATTTTATTTAAATTTATTACAAAAATTACTATATATATATTAAAATATTTATAAATTAAAATCTGAACAAACCACAAATGATTTAATGAAATAGCTTGATTGTTTCAATGACGGTCCAGTTCTGAAAACCTTATATTTACTTTACATTAATAAATATTATAATAAAATATTATTTAATTCACATAAATATTAATAAAATGACATATAAATATTCATAAATCATTAAACATGTTTTCATAAAAGTAGTGTTAATACGATTATTTGAAGTTTGGACTATATCACATTTACGTAATAAAATATTATCAAAATAAAATTTATATTTAGGTTAAATAATCGATTTGGTGTGGTCGAACTGATACATAACTTAGTCACCTGGGACTAACCAAGTTGTGTCAAGTTTTTTGACTATTTTAAATATCACCTAAAAGTAACTCAATCAACCTGGGTAGTATCCTAATTAAATCACCCGATTGATCCGAAGAAATTTTCTTATTTTCTTTAAATATATTTAATTTTATGAAACAAAAAAATATTTTATGATTAATATAATAAATGTCTACACCAAATGATAGTATATTAAGATTATAATAATATATATATATATATATGTATCTAAAGATGAATTAATTATTTTTACTTTATGAATATTAATAAAAAAATAAACATAGTAATTTTTAAAAAATTAAGATTAATTAATTGATTATGCAATTTAAAGAATATTTTTAGCGTTTAATAATTTTTTTTAAAGGTACAAATATAAAGACCGAAATTCTAAAATTTTTGTTATATTTTGAATTGAGATTTTATAAATACAGAGACCGAGATTTTAATATTGTTCGTTGTTTCTAAGAAAAAAAATAAAAATAAAAACATACACTTAATAAATCTTAGCTGAATTTTTTAAATAATAAAATAAACTAAAGTCCGAAATTTAAGGTGACATTTAATGTTGTATGATTTTTTTTAAAAAAAAAAGAAAAATAATAAAACTTGTTATTTATAGGTTGCATTAAATTTCGACTTATTTTTTTGTTACTATTTTTGATAAATGATGATTCTTATTATATATATATTTAAACAGTGAAAAATTAATAATACACCTATGCAGTGTGGATAAAAAAAGCAAGGAATTCCGTTGCCGGGACTTGAACCCGGGTCTCTCGGGTGAGAGCCGAGTATCCTAACCACCTAGACTACAACGGATTTGTTACTAAATGTTAAAGCAAAGTTTATATCTTCGTCGTTCATGATTCGACAAAGCTAATCGTTCAACTCACCTCACTACAAATGGCAAAACCGAGGTCCTATGGAGCTTCGGTACGAATTGATCATAGCTCACGGCTCTCCCAGGCCTCCGTCACGGTTGAGCACCTCTCTCTCTTTATTTATTTATTTATTTATTTTTATTTTGGTGATTCAATAGCTTCAGTGTTCTTCTCGATGTGTTGAATTGTTGCTTTACGTGTGCATTAGGTTTTACAAAGTTACATTTTCTCAGGGTTTTAGAAGAGTTTATGGAAATTGTGGGTTTTGATGAGGTATTGGTTTGATTGTGAAGATAATTTCTTGTGAACTTTGACAATTTAAATTGGGAGCTGGGGTTTTGTTCTTCGACAATTTAAATTTAAATATCTGAACGAAAAATGTATGGACGGTGCTTGAGTTTATTAAGTTTCTTCAATGGAGAATGAACTGAGCTAGATCATGATGATATTATGTGGTAGAAAGTATCACGTATAAGTTAACCAGTTGTAGTATATTGTTCAATCTATTTTTTCATGGTCTCGGACCTCTCGGTTGATTGTCATCACAGAAAAGTCCCATCTTGTCCTTTATCTTTCATTTTCTGTTTGATTTGTGCTAGTACATAGTGTTTCCAAGCATTATTAGATAGGCCATAGGTGTGGCAATATTGTGTTGTTTCTTAAGATTTCTGCTTGCATATCATCTAATCAAACTCTGTATGTTATGGTAATTTCTTTTCCTGATTTGACAATATCGTGGTTTGCAGTATGTTTTGATCAAAAGTCCGATTTCAGTCAAATTTATGTTTGGAGCATCGCTGGTGTATATGAGGTCTATTATGCCGACTCTTCACACAGCAGCGATGAATATCTTTATTTCTGTTAAGTGTGGTATTGCTGAAAGAGACGAAATAGTTCTGCAAATCAGCTGCATCAAAGATGCTGGGGAGGAGTACAGTGGCTGTTAATTGGGTTAAATAACTAATAAAGTGTTGCTGATGAGGAAACTAATGAACCTAGTGAAGCGAACGGGTTAAGGTTAAACTGATGTTTTCCAACAGAGTGGAACACATACAGGTATGGATTTATGTTCTCCTCCATGCTCTTTTTTAGTCTCTGCACTATTTTACTTAATTGATTATGTATTCTTGAAGTTCTTTACCGTGTGCATTCTGTGTGTGTTCAGTATCAAGTAGTTGTGTTCCTTCATGGTCATAAAACGTCTGGTATGCAGGCAAAGTCATTTAACCAATATATCTCGCTGTACGCTGTCCGTGTGATCGTATGATGTTTCGACCCTCGTAACTTGATGGTCTGTTTTTGATGTCTTCACAAAATTTGTAGTTTAGTCTCTTGTTTTTCTGTAGGCGCAAGAATTTGCCGATAATCTATCTTATATAAAATGTTATGTTCAAAATACGATCACTGTGCGGGTCTATTTTCTGTCAAACATTGTTATGTGCTGTCTGCCCATTTGTGATACTTTTTCACTTACCTAGCAACCTCTTCTGCTTCTACTATCTTCATAAAAGTCGTAGTGGCATGGGAAGAAGAATGACTTTGGTATCTATTTTCTATTAAAGTTTAAGTTCGAAATACAAACAATGCGCTAGCTGTTTCTGTCAATTTTGCTGCACTACTGCTGCTGTCTTTTGAACCCTTTCTGATCCTCTTAACTTGTTCGTAAGTATTCTGTGTATTTATTAGAGTCGTAGCTATGTACCTTGTCTTCTCATAAGTTTCAGAATCAGTCAAATATCTATGTTCAGCAGTTCGGCTAAAAGTTATCTTTAAAATACACGGGCTGTGCATGATGGTTTTTGTCCAGTTATGCAACAACTTAGCATATTGTTTTCTGCCTTCCACACTTTTCTAAAATACTCGTTTGTGTTTCGGTCTTCACCAAAGTTGTCGATATGTATCTTGGAGATTTTTATGAGCAAGAATTAGTTCCATACCCATTTTCTATTAAAAAATTATACTCAAAATACAAACACTATGCATGACGTTTTCTGTCAATTTGACAGCAGTATTGTTGCTGAGAGTTGAAGTATTTTCATCCACTTAACTTGCTCCTAAGTGATTGAAGCTTTCACAAGAGTTGTGACCTTATATCTTTCCTTCTCATAATTTCAAGAGTCAGTCCTAAATGTATTCTCTAGTAAAACTTATGTTCATTATACCATGATTGCGCATAGTTGACTGCTCAGGTTTTTCAACTGCAGGGATGTTCTACTTAGGTTTGGTTTTCAACTGCAGGGATGTTCTACTTAGGTTTGGTTTTCATCCTTTGAACATACTCGTCCCTATTAAGAATCTACTCAATAGTTTTAGATGTGTCTCTTCAGATCATATTGGAGTAGGAATAACTTCAATATGTGTTTTCTATTTGAAGGTATGTTTAAATTACAAACATTGCGCCCGACTGTTTACTGTCAGATTTATCAACAGCAAGTCTGTTTGATTTTATCTAGTTTTCACACTTTTAACTTGCTCATGTGTGTTTGGAGTCTACATAAGAATTGTGTATTGGTGTCATAGGGGTTTATAGGAGCAATAGTCACTTCAATGTGGATTTTCTAGTTGAAGTTATATTCAAAATTTGAATGTAGCGCCTGGTTGCCTACTATTAAAATAATATATTTGAAGCCTAACAACCAATTAACTAATTATCCTTGTGGTACATGTGTTAATAACATAGAATAAGTGAATAACGATTTAATAGTTTAAGATGTTAAATTAATGTATTAGCATATTAGTTGGGATAAAATGAAAGGGAGCCTTTGAAGGTACAAACTGAACTCTGTTTTCTGTAGATAATTTGGAATGAGATGTAGTTTGCTATTGGATTGGAATAAATTTCTGATTGTGGGATCATTGCTTTGGTCTAGTGTGATATGCAGTAATTACAAATGCAACTTAAAGCGATTCATGATATCTATTTGCCTTACATGCGGAACAGCTGAGGTGCACTTTTATGATTCCATAAACAAATGTCGGGATGTTGTTCCCTCTGTATTTCATATCATGACATCATTTTTGAATACATACACCAACTTATAGATTTATTAGATGTCCATATGATAAGTTTCTATTTTTTCTGTTCTATTAGTATTTTGACATATGTAGAATCTACGGATATTTAATACACATTGTCACTAACCATCTCCTCGCTGAATTGTTCTCACCGGGCGCCAGAACCGCCACATGACGAGAGGAATATAAATTTGCATTACATTTTATCTCTTTTATATAAAGAAACACCCTAAAAAGTACACAAATTCTGAAATGAATTACCAACTTGGTTGAGTCACAGGT